CTCTACACTAATTTTACTAACAGAAATATATATTGATTCAAACTAGAAGGCAGGTACTAAAAGTAGTTTGATAAAATAACGAGGGTGATTTATAACATGGACTGCAGAGTCCACCCTTCCAATAATTCATGTAAATATGGCGGGCCACAGGTTTTCCCTTATACGCCAGAATTCAATGAATCATCATTGACCAGTGTTGCCTTACGTGAATAAAGCAGACAATAGGCATAAAACTGTCTGAAACTTACCACCTGATCTTCAAATGCCGTTTCTTTGAGTTTCCTCTCGAAGACGAGGAGACCCTCCTTTAATTGTATAGGGAATGTCCCTTCTGGAAGCACTTCCACCCCATCATCAACATTCTGATCTTCACGGAGCTGCCTTCGTTCATGGCTTAGTTTGGCAACAACTTTCCTTAACAATCGTTGTTCGGATTTTATTGCTTCCAATTCTTAGAATATTTTGCCTGGAAATAGATGGATGACCTTACTCATTAATGCCATATGTGGCGAAATGGATGGGGGCCCTAACAGTTTGTACAGTGTGGTTTAGTTCTTCGTTGGGGGACAAGGGGGCAGCAATGGACGGTTCATGGTGGGGAAAATGCTCGCGCATAAAGAGGAAATGTCTGCCGAAATAAAGAGTGAGGAACGTCTTTATTTTCGGTTCCATTTCGTTTACAAATTTTTTGTTTTGTCCCTTTCAGCATCCCACCGTAACATTTTGGGTGCTCGTTCGTTAAAAAATCCCCCTGTTAAAAAATGTTGTCCGCGACATGTGTCCCCCAAGTCGATAAGCTGAAACAAATGGGTTAACACCGAAGTTACTCGTGACAGGTGCTACATCAGAGACATGGTGTACTTACACCCCAACAGTTTTTAGGATCTTGTACCCTTCTCCACTGGACGGCCGAGATAGTCAAAGGAGCGGCCAACTCCCCCGACAGGAATCCACACCACACCGTCATGTGTCTCGATAACAAGTCTTACGACTCAAGAGTGTATAGAAACAACTTGCCCACTTGCATACGTCATCATTGGCCCCCACCTGTGCGTATCCATACCTCGTGCCTGAGATGCCCGACTAAACTACAATTATGATAGGCCTACTAACTGCTAAACTCAACCACCTGGAATACATATACACATACATCGGCGGATGACCAATGCCTCGCCTATTCGTCTACGACACCATCTCTCAAGCTATACCAGCGTAGCGTAGTGCCCCAAAGCAGGATGATCCATCCAAACAAATTCACCGACCAAAAAAGGCTTGTGGCTCGCTGGTACAATGGATTCCCCAACTGATCATACATGAACATCTGCCAAGGTTGCCGTTGACGCTGTGACCTTCCTTCCACCTCGTCCTGGCTTGACCCATCTCCTGACGTGGCCGTACCACTGGACCCCTGTCCTGCAGGGCTGAGCTGGTCGCTGGATGATCCAGAAGATGGCTGGAACGGTTCGGCTTCGAATTTCAGATCAGACCGCCTGTCCTCGCTTGACCCCTCCACCATGGCTCTGGCCTGTCCATCATCATGCTCACTCAAATTCTCGCTTATGGTCCTCACCCTCTCATCATTCAAACTATCAACACCGGTTTCGGCTGCATCATTATGTTCAGAACTCGGTTCTGTAAGACGAACTTCCTGACGAATCGCTGTCTGTGTTGCTTGCCCTGATGGAATGTCCTGCTGTCGTCGTTGCTGGTCCCGCACTCGTGGCTTCCTCTTCTGTAACCGAGGAGGTTGCATGCCCTCGAATTGTAGCTCGTCACATTGGAGGAGCAGGTTCCGGTGTAAAACTCTCACCCGCCCAGTCCCCTTCTCTGGCTTGACTTGGTATAGACCCTTCTTAATTATTATTTATGACCTGGGGTCATCGCACGAAAACGAGGCTAAGCTAGGCAATTTTGTAAACAATGGCTGCTCAGGCAACACAGCCGGGAAAAAACCGTGATGAATATTGCTGTGTGCTGAAGTGCAACAGCAATGGGAGAATTAATAATGAGCTAAGTTTTCACCATATCCCATCAATGAAAAGACAGGAGTTGAGAAAATTATGGATTATTGCAATACGCCGTGATGAAGGGCCACTCTTTAAGGTAAATAATAAAATATTGAATCACGGCTGCTTAGCTGACAGTGACATTGACAATCGGAATATAAATTTTGAGACTAATTTGCTCTAGGCAGTACTACTAGTAGGTGTTTATATTGTGCAAGCAAGATGTTATATAATTCAAGTTTGGCCTATATTTTAATCATTACTATCAAATATTATTATCAAATATTTTTCACTTTTGATTGGAAGCAACACTGTTGAGTGCTCTAGGCACTTTCAGAAAAGTGATTTCAGGTGCACCCTTAATCGCAAGTGCCTGAAACCAGGTGCAGTTCCCTCTATTTTTGAATGGAAAATTGATGTGCCTGGAAGAAAGTCGCCTAAAACCAGACTTTCGCACGTCACTGAAGGAGATGCAAAAACATTGTCCAATTGTGATGATGCTGCAGACATGACTGCCGTGAACGAGTAAGCTAATGAGTGGTCAGAAATGACATGATTAAATTTATTAAATAAAATTGACAATTAAAAAGTAAAAGTAATAGAAAAGTAGAAAGGATGTGTTCATGCAGTCATCATGAGTACAGTATCACAAACTACAGAAAATGGACTAGGTGCCATTCAATAAAATAATAGAAGAATAAATTGAGGAACGCAAAAAACGACATTTATTTAAACATATTTCATGTAGTGGTACGAAACTAGTAAGGAAGTATGCAAAAATGATGTCTTGCATTTTTCATTAATAGGAGCTATGAAGATATCCATGCAAGCTGTAACAAGGAACTGCAGGAACTGCAGAAAAAATTTTAGTGGAAAAGGACTTGGAAATCAAGGCGAAAAATGAGAAAAATGAGCGAACTGAAACTCAACCAGATAGAGCGCTTTGGCGTTAAATGGTTTTCATTTGATGATGACATTATAGAATTTTACACAGGTTTTCCGACTTGCAAATTATTTATTGCACTTTTCTCGGTCATCGAACCAACAGCTGTACGAATGAAAAGTGTTTACTACTATCCATCTGAGGAATGCACTATCCGGGGCGTCCAAGGTCAGTGATCCCTATTGATGAATTGTTCATGTTCTTGTGCATGTTGAAATATGGTATTCTCTCAGAGGATCTAGCTGTTAGATTTATCATACACAGGTCTACAGTGAGTAGAAAACTTATTACATGGACAAATTATTTATACTTTACATTTGGAAGCATTAATATCTGGCCCAGTAAGGAAAAAGTCCTGAACCATATGCCACAAGATTTTAAACTGTGGTATGCAAGAACACGTGTAACTATAGACTGTACAGAAATTTTAACAGAGACACCGTCATCATTAGCATTGGCCTCAAAAACGTTTTCATCATATAAAAGTCACAACACTTGGAAGGGCTTAGTTGGGATTGCATCGCATGGAGCCGCAACTTTTATTTCATCATTATATTCTGGTTGCATGTCTGACATTAAGATTACGTAGCGTTCTGGTCTTATTAAATTCTTGGAACCAGGGGATCAAATCATTGCAGACAAGGCATTTATTTTGAACAATCTTTTAAAGGGTACAGGGATTTCAATTGCGACTCCTCATTTCTTGTGTGCTGATGGACAATTTACACCAGCACAAATACAAGACAACCAGAAAATTGCCTCATTAAGAATCCATGTAGAACGGCACATCAAGAGAATAAAGGAATACAGACTCTTGCAGTCAACTGTTCCCTTGTCGAGTGCAGGTTCAGTTAACCAGCTATGGACTATTGCTAATTTACTTACTTTATTTAGGAGACCATTGATAAAGCTGAAAAATTAAGTCAATGTAATTTCAATCAATCATCAATAATTCATCAATCATATACTATACAGATAACATAAACTACATCCAACATAATTCATATAGCGCTCACATCTCGGTCTCATTTCAATAATATGTCAAGTAAAACATGTCAAGTTTATCTTTTGCAGCTTGCCAGAATATGGGATCAAACCAGACAGTCTCTAAGTGGAAATTATTTTTGAGCCAAACAAAAAAGTCGCACCATTGTAGCCCTGCTACAGCCATCTGAATTTGCATTTGATAGTGATAGTTGTGATTTGTCTACAATTTAAATCCTCCATCTGCTTATTCAAGGCATTTTACTACTTCAAAATCATCCGTCACTGGGCATTTAATTTCGAGCAAACCATAGGGTGGGTTTCTACCCGGATGGTAGACTTTTCGGTCAGGCGATGCTGCTAGCCATTGACAGTGTGGACTCACAATCAGTCCACATGGGTAAATGTTGACATTGTCATCCATTTTCTTAAAGAAATAACAATAAACATTTCCGTTCCCACTTCAAATGCAGCAATGACTTCGTTTTTACCATTGTTTACTCTATAGTTGATGGGCTCTTGTTGATACTTTTGTTCCATACAGTGAATATATTCATTTATGTATAATATATGGTGTTAACCCATTTGTGTTCACCTACATTTTGCATGATTGTATTCACATCAAGAGTTAACTAGGGATATTTACCTTGATGTATGCATGTGCTGCCGCACCTTCACAATTAACTCCATGTTTCAATGTATCATAGCTGCTGTTTGTATGTGTCGAGCTGTCTGAAGCCATTCAGCAAGCTTTCTACCATCTATAATAAATATTAAAGATATAATTTCACTGTTTAACAAGCCCAGAATAAATATGTGGTAGTATATACTTAATTTCTTGTCAACTCATGGTAGGATAAAGTTATATACCTACACGTCGTTTCGCTATTTCTCCTGCATGGGATGCTGGAATTCTGTCTTTCCTGATCTTGTGCCACTTAGGGTCCCCAGACTGACGGCGGGCGGTTTCTTCTATTTCTCTACTTTCAATGTTGGTGACTAACAACGAATCGAGTTTTTTTGCCTGCTTTTCACTGCGTTGCACAACACAGTGGACACATTATTAAACATGACATTATTTACTGACAAAACTGGGAACATATTGACATCAACCAAATTTATCACATTTATTATTTTCTGCTGGTAGGAAAGTATGCTTGCTTCCTTTCTGAAAATCTCCATATGCTGTCGCCGCCATTTCATTGGTAGGCTCAACTACAGTGCTGAATAAAATGCCCATCTCGTTAACTTCATCTAACAAGTTATTAACATTGATACATGTATCACCAGAAATAGGATTAAAAAGTGTTTACTTGATTCCCTTTGTTACCCTCTGTGGTTCATCTCTATCATAACTTTGTACAACAATGTCATCAATTTTGTCCCCCTGTAATTTTTCTCCTCTTGGCACATGCCAAGTCTGTCGTAAAGATGTCTTTGCCACATCCGTTGAAATTACGGTAAACCCCATGTGTTTATAATATGCCAGTTGGTAGAGTAGCGCTGTCACATGCCCACAGTATCCACTTTGTCCAATAATGCATGTGCAGGCGGCATTGTCAACTTTCATACTAAGATTGATTAGAATCAGAAACGACAAACCATGCAATATTTAGAACAATATATTTTATAGACATAGTTAAGTTAATAGTTAGATGTAAATAGCTAGGTATAATGGCTAGTAAGACAACAAATAATTAAAAAATTAATACACTGCATATGCTAACCCTGACGTCATGTGGAGATTCGTTTTTTCTCTGCGACCTGTAACACTTTCCTACTGCAAGGTAGCCTGTTTCATCTTGATACACTGAAGTCAATATTTTAATTCTATATTAATCATGAACACAAACAAATTCTCTATGTTGACGAAAGTTATTGAACGTGCATTCATTAATTCATAGTCAAATAGGATCGAAACATGATTAACGTATAAAATGATTCGGCGAGCACTGTACATTAGGCTACATTTACAGATTACATGCCTGCCATTATTTTGCTGAATATGAAATTCTTACCTGCGACAGAATGAACACTATAAGACGTGAATCCCTTGTTCATTTGCTATTTCCCAGAGCTCGTGCAGTTTTCTTTTATAAACGCCTCCACGGATGAGAATGTAATGTCAGGTAATTGCAGATAGTCTGCCGATACTGACGCACCGGCAGCCATTGTTTACAAAATTGCCTAGGTTAGCCTCGTTTTCGTGCGTGGCCCCAGGTCATGAATGCTAATTAAGAAGGGTCTATACTGGCGAGTTTGAAAAAATTTATCCAGTGACAGTTTCATTTGGCTCAGCTTTTACTTATGCCTCTCATGCGGGTAGATTAAGAAATTAAATTAAAGTCATTCTTACTAAATATAGCCCGGTACAATGTGAGGTCCTTGAAGCAACCCTTCCCTTTCAGTCCTGTCCCACTTAAGTTATAACCTGCCGCAACCTCGTTGGCTAGAACCTCTCCCAAAATCCTGCGGGTTTCATGGCCCATATCATGGCTTCCAAATACACTTAAGTATTTAACCTGTAAAACAAACAAATTGTAAATTAGAGGCATAATCCAGGTAATCAATTACCTTTAGGAAATCTCTACACTAATTTTACTATCAGAAATAGATATTGATGTAAACTAGAAGGCAGGTACTAAAAGTAGTTTGATAAAATACCGAGGCTGTCAGATTTATAACATGGACTGCAGAGACCCTTCCAATAATTCATGTAAATATGGCGGGCCACAGGTTTCCCCTTATACGTCAGAATTTAATGAATCATCATTGACCAGTGTTGTCTTACGTTTGTGGGAGAATGTAGGTTTTTGGGTTGGATATGTTTGTGTATATTGTGTTTATCCAAACACAAACATCATGTGCCAACCCACATCTGCGCATGCGTGTTCTACAACCTCCTCACCTTTTTGAGTGACCTCACAAGAATAACTTAAGCAAGAACAAGTGGTAATTTCTAGTATGTTTATTACAGCAGGGCTATCCAGAAATTACTTTTGCATAAAATAACAAATCACAAAACAATGTAAATCCCAGAACAAAAAATGGCTCTGTTTATAATGCGGAAGGCCGCCGCAGTTTTAGCGAATATGCTACGGAGTAACTAGTCCCAAACAAAAAATGGCTCTGTTTATAATGCGGAAGGCCGCCGCAGTTTTAGCGAATATGCTACGGAGTAACTAGTCCCAAGTCGTTGAAATCGTCTGGTGACGATGCAGTTGACGCCGGTCACGGCGAGTAGAATGACCGGGATGGAAAAACAGCCCTCCGCAAAACGGTTTATCAGAAAGTCGACCAGGAACAGGGCTGAGCGGCGTGGAGGTGAGCTGTACCTGTAAGCTGCCGGACGTCGAGAAGGCGGGCACAAATCCTTTTTAGTTTATGCCCGGGTTTGTCGCTCAAATCAAATCCTCTTCCTAAGTCAGGCTATTCACTCCCGACACACTGTTGCACGCCACCAGCGGTTGCAGCTATCTGTTAGCCCGTAGTTTCGGCGCAGCAATTAAGTTGAATTCGTTGTGCAGCTACGTGGTTCAGCTGCCACTATCCACCTCCCACTTGACGTGTCCAAAAAAACAAAAATGTCCAGCAACCTGAGTGTGTCGAACCCCCATTGGTCGTTTACCTCACGTGACCAATGACATGCATATAATATAGTGCATGATTCGACAACATATAAAAACACATCATGAATATACATAACGTTATCAAAAAATCATCAAACCGCAAAAAGGAACAAATACTCAGATTTATCCCTCCACAATTTTAGGAACAAAACAAAATGACATTTAATGAGAACCATCCTGAGACGCTACACGTTAATAAAGCAGACAATAGGCATAAAACTGTCTGAAACTTACCACCTGATTTTTAAATGCCTTTTCTTTGAGTTTCCTCTCGAACACGAGAAGACCCTCCTTTAATTGTATAGGGAATGCCCCTTCTGGAAGCACTTCCACCCCATCATCCACATTCTGATCCTCACGGAGCTGCCCTCGTCCATGTCTTAGTTTGGCAACAACTTTCCTTAACAATCGTTGTTCGGATTTTATTGCTTCCGATTATTGGAATATTTTGCCTGGAAATAGATGGATGACTTCACTCATTAATGCCATATGTGGCGAAATGGATGGGGGCCCTAAAAGTTTGATGCTGGCCATTATTTTTCTGAATATGAAATTCTTACCTGCGACAGAATGAACATACTTCTCACTATAATACTTGAATCCCTTCTTCATTTGCTCTTTCCCAGAGCTCGTGCAATTTTCTTTTATAAACGCCTCCACGGATGAGAATGTGATGTCAGGTAATTGCGGATAGTCTGAAGATACTGACGCACCGGCAGCCATTGTTTACAAAATTGCCTAGCTTAGCGTCGTTTTCGTGCGTGACCCCAGGGCATGAATAATAATTAAGAAGGGTCTATACTGGCGACTTTCAGAAAATTTATCCAGTGACAGTTTCATTTGGCTCAGCTAGTGTGGTGACATCCGTCGAGTGACGACCTGTATGTCTTCCTCCTAATTCCTTCGTAACTTGCCCGGCCCCTTCTCTCATTGAGGTTGCGAACGAGAACTCTATCCCCTTCTTGAAGAATGGAACTGCGAAGACAACGATCATGATTCTTCTTGCCCTTTTCCTGGGAGCGCCGAATCTTCTACCTGGCCAGGTAGGACTCCTTCATCCTGTTCATCCACTTCTCGACAGTGATGCTGCCCTCTCCACTTTCACACCCAAAGATAAGGTCGATCGGCAATCGGAGGGGGGGAACGACCAAACAGAAGCCTGAACGGAGAGTAACGAGTGGATTCATGCTTCGTGCAGTTATAGGCATGCACGACGTGATTAACATGACACTTCCAGTTAGTCTTGTGGGTCTTCTCCAGGGTTCGCAGCATTGCCAAAATCATCCGATTCAATCACTCACATTGTCCA